CTGAGTGGTCTTAATGTTTACCTTCTTATTGTGGCCCTGATGCTAAGCAGCTATGTCACTTTGGGTGGTAGTATTGTGCTGGTTCAGTTGTGTGTGTGTGTGTGTGTGTGTGTGTGTGTGTGTGTGTGTGTGTGTGTGTTTTAATTGTTAAATGAAGAGTCAAGGTTCATTTTGCTAAAGTTTCCTGCAGATAAAACTTTCTGTATTTGATATTTACTCTACAAATGAGGTAACATGAAAGTCACTGGTAAAAGTTAACCTAGCAAATTAGTATGTTCTTCCATAAAAGTGGTTGGAGTCCCGGCATTGTGTCAGCACTCTCCCTAGTCCCTGCTTGGGCCCTGCATTTCTAGTCATCTGATTTCTCTAACCCTCCCTGTCTTCCCATCTTTGGTTTGGGGAAAATGTTGATCTTTAGTGTCATATGGTTTATTGTCCTAAGAAGCACATTCCTCGTGCGAGTTACTGTTTGTTTTGTGGACATAGCTCTTACGGAGCTGAAAACGGGCCTCCAGGAGTATCTTCAGTTTCAAGTAAGAAGGTTCTCAAGGTTGTCTCACAACAATCGGCCTGGCGCTTCTTCTAGTCTCTTTTAGATTAGTAAGGCTGGTCCTGGTTTCTCCCTCTCAGAATTTGAATTTTGTTCTACATTTTAATAGCCAGAACTTTCTCTTGTGGCCTTGTTCGGTGTATTGGTAGTGGGAGCTAGCTATAAGATTTTCTAGTCCCGGTTTAGAGGCGGCTTTGGTTTACGTTGGTCACTCAGCCTTCGGAATAAGATCTTCTTGAGACCTTGTTTTCCTCTCTTGCTTCAAACAAGGAGCCACTAATAGTTGCTTCTTAGCTGGCCAGTTTCAAGCTGCTAAGAATCTAGATGCTCGTCACCAGACCGAGATGTAGAATGTTATCTTTATGACTTGTGTTTTGTCAAGTGCCTTAGCTGTCCACCTAAATTCTGGTCCCTTGGCCTTCAAGTTCAGTGGTTCAGTTCCAGTGCCTAAGTAGTTTCCATAAATGTGCCCTTGGTGTGATCTGTTTTATATATATGAGTGTATAGGTAGCACGTACAAATATGCATGTAGGTAAAAATTACCACCGTAACTATATACAAAGGTAAGTCAGAAAGAATTGCTGCTGTGGTTCAAGTTCGTGCATGCATGGATTTATTCTAAACAAAACATGTTTAAATATGTCTCTGCAACCTGCGAATGACTGCAGACAAGTTCTCTCGATAACATGCTTGTCTTGGTCTTAGGAACAGGCCTTCAAAAACGTCCAACCAGAACAGTGTCTTTTGCGCGGTTCTGTTGGGCAAGATCAATTCAAGACAGAAAACGCAGCCCGGAAGGCTGTGAAAGGATTTCTTTGAAAACAGAGAACAACCATTGGAGCTTGTTATGGAGACAGTTTAAGAAAATGGAAAGTGCATGGGTGAGGGAAACAAAGCCGGGACACTGGCACCAGCGTTTGTTTGTTTGTTTGTTTTGCCATTACAACAATACACCTGTTCATTATTTGAGGTTTTCAAAGGCTACTCTATGAGAATTTCACTGGAAAATCTTACCTACATCCAGCATGCAACCCTGATCTTGCCCATTCAGACTTCGTAGTATTCTCCAAACTCCAGAAACATTTAATGGAAAAGTCATTTGAATCCCTTGAGGATAACAAAAATGTTATTTTGGTGTGGTGCCAATCAAAGAGTCCAGAATCCTTGGGGGGAGTTTTGAGAGAGCTGTAAATGCTGTTTTCAGAAGTGTATCAACCTAGAGGAAGTTAATATCAAATAGCTTAATATTGTGATAACTTTGTTTAATAGAGGTATTGATAATTTTATAGCAATACTGCTTATATATTTAGCACATACATTTATCTATGTACCTATTCATAAACTATTGCTAGTTATGACTGCTGTTACAGGATTGTATTTCTCATAGAATTTATAGTAGTTGTTTATTTTTTTATCTTTTTTAAAAATAATTTTATTAGGGGCTCATATGACTCATCACAATCCATACATACATCAATTGTGTAAATCACATTTGTACATTCATTGCCCTCGTCATTCTCAAAACTTTTGCTCTCCACTTAAGTCCCCAGCATTAGGTCCTCATTTTCCCCTCCCTCCCCGCACTCCCCTTCCTCATGATCCCTTGATAATTTATAAATTATTATTTTGTCATATCCTGCTCTACCCGACGTCTCCCTTCACCCACTTTTCTGATGTCCATCCCCCAGGGAGGAGGTCACATGTATATCCTTGTAATGGGTTCCCTCTTTCCAACCCACTCTCCCTCTACCCTCCCAGTATCGCCACTCACACCACTGGTCTTTTGCGTACTCTCAGTATCATCCTTTGTCTTGGTCGCCTTGTGCTTATTTCTCTCATATTGTGTATTGCTTTTCCATTCACCAGAATTAAGTTTTGTCTACTATCTAGTTAATGACTTCCACTCCCCAACCCTGGTAACCATTAATGAATGCTTTTCTTTCCTGTGTGTAAACCTATTCTTGGCTTTTTATAACAAGGGTCTGACACAATATTTGCCCTTTTTGTTGGACTTACCCACCATAATCCTCCCAGACACATCCATGTTGTGAGATGTTTCACAGATTGATCAGTAATCTTTATAGCTGCATACTATTCCATTATATGAAAGCACCGCCTTTGATAGACACAGGTTGTTTCCATCTTTTTGATACTGTCAGTAATGCTGCAATGAATGTGGGTGTACATGTGTGTTCATGTACAGCTTTTATTCCTCTGGGAGTATATATCTAGGAAAGGTATTTCTAGAAAATATGATATCTATGGTTCTATTTTTTAAGGAATTGATATATCATTTTCCATCGTTGTACTATTGTGCAGCCCAGCCAGCGGTGTATACAAATTTCAACCTTTCCCACAGAATCACCAGCATTTATCATTTCTCTTTAGTTCATGGAGTGTATCAAAAATAGCACACATCATTTATGGCATTGTATTTTAAGGCAATAATATTAGTGGAAAATTAGAATCATGGACTTAAACTAAATAAAAAAAACATTTACAGAATCAAATGTTGAAACCAATTCCTTAGAATTAGCATAGGACCAGACAATACTTCCATTCCTCTGTCTTACATCAAGACAGCATTAATGGGAGCTGCCTTAGCTTTCACAGGCAACAACAATAACATTAACTTTAAACCACTGATGAGATGCTTTGTTAAAAGTTGAATATTAAGACATGGCTATGATGCAATAATATTTATATTGGATGAAAAAGTTGCAGCCCACCCACAAAGCTACAGAGAAATTGTCCTTTAAAATCCATGTTGAATCCAAGGCTCCACTGCAGTCTAACCACTGTGGAAAGAAGAAGCATTTGTTTCTCTCTCATTTCTAAGAGACCTGTCTTCTTCCAACAGCACCCAAGTCATTAAATAAGCATTGAACACTAATGATGAATCAAGGACTGTTTACTTGATTATGTCTATGGAAGGATAGAATGAAGATGACACAATACTTACTGTCCTATATTAAAAGTTTATTAAAGAAAGGGTTAAGAGAGATGGAAAATAATTAATAATTAACTATAGATGAATTTATTATTTTGTTCTCCCAAAATAAAAATTCAGTGCAATGCTGTTGTTGTTCTTAGGAGATATTTGCAGATTCAACAGGAATCTTTATAGCGGGATAGTATTCTATTCCAGGAACACACCACAGTTTGTTTGACCAATGATGGACACCTTAGTGTAAAGGAATGTATTTACTTATTTACCTGGACTATATTCAAGTATGGCTTGTTACAGATATTGAAATTGTGTCACCATAAATCCATCTCTCTTCAGCTCTTAACTGCCTTCCTCTGTGTTGCCTTGATCTCACTCCCAAAATCCAGGAAAGACTACGATCTCATCGTTTTTGGTCTCACCCACATATTTATTCTATAATTAGGACAATGAGTAATATTCAGTCATAATTAATTGTGTCTATGAATTCAGTAGATTGTCTCTTTTAATTAGGCTTGTGAAACCAAAAATCTCTGGAGAAGTACCAAGGCCTTTGTATCATCTTAGCTTTAGCATACACCTTGTAGAAAGCACGTGATCAATGTGTATCAATTGCATTAAAGGGATATTGAGTAAGGTTCTGCAATGTCGTGAAGGTTTTGCTGTCTGGACAAGCTATCCTGCTGGGGCTTCTTTCCCTCAAGTCCAATACAGGCATTACGGCCAACTGGAGTACAGAATATGAAGGTGCAGTGATTGTTTCCCACATTGTCACGGTTTGACGTTGAAAGCTAGGAATAATGTGGAACTGTTAAAATAACAACATAGCAAGGTTGGAGAGGAGACTATCAAGAATATAAATTCTACCTTGGACACATGGAGCTTTAACAGGTGATGAGACATCCAGGTTGCTAGTTCAAATTCCCAAATGCCTACAGGAAAAAGAAAGCAGGGCAGAGGTTAGGCCTGAAAATACAGATTTAGGATACACTGTCATTAGCACAGAATTGATAAGGAAAATTATTAGAAAGGATAATATTCCAAGGGCATGTTATTCATGTTATAACAATAATATGCTCGTTGTAGCAATAACGGGGGAAAAAAGAAAAAACGATTACAAACACTGAAGTATTCTAGAAAGAAAACACAAATAGAATTTTAAATACATAGATGAGCAACAAAGAAACTTGTCCTTCCGTTAAAAACACTTTGGGCTTAAACAGATAAGCAGAAAGCTTTAAAGAGTCTGACCCTGGCTAGTAAGCAAGTTCTAAAGTCACGGAACAGCCACGGGCATCTCTGGGAGCAGACATCTGGCTGTTCAGGTTTTAATTGGTCATGACTAGTGAAAGTGAAAAGATCTCAGTCTGAAGCAGAACCGTAAATCAGACTTGAGACTCCTACAGAAAGTTGGGTTGGCTTGAAGGGCTATTTCCAAAAAAAAAAACGCAAGCCTGAAAAAAAATTGACCTCTTGGGAAAGGAGGATAAAACAACAGAGGAATCGTCAGTAAGGTTAATCCTTACCTGTTCCTCCTTTTGGAGAACAGAGATAAAATGATGATTGGAGCTCTCATGATACGTGATTAGCGTCTCCGTGTGAGCAGGACTTGCAACATCCTGTTTGCTCCTATCTGATTTAAAAAAAAACAAAAAAAAAAAAACAGAGGAACAGGTTTGCCTTAAGCTTTACTAGAAAGAAATTTTAAAAATAGACTTTCCTTGAAAATTCATAATGGCGAACCTGTCCTAGCATGGATGCTGCACTTAATTGTTTATCATCTTTGCAGTCGATTATCCTTTCAGCTTAAAGAGCACATATCAAAAGGAAACACATCATATAGAGAAAGCATACCTTTAATCTAACTAGGTTTCCTAGTATCCCCTTATTATTAACCAAAAGGGAGAATATGATACACAATTACCATAAGCACAGGGTACTGAGTCTGCCTAAAAATTTGAGCCACAAAGTCTTCCAATATTGAAAAAAAAATTCTTTGAAACACTTGGATAACAGAAGACATCTGAAAATGAAAATAACCAAAGATAGTAAAAACTTACCAAGCACATTTGCAAAGTAACTTAAACAATTTTATTTATGAATAATAGGATTGTTGAAATTCACGAATCAGTTAAACTACAAATTTACTTTAGCCAAATCTCTTTTGGCTAAAGAGATAGTTTGAGATTTTATCTGATCTCTCTGGAAAAACCAAAAGCAATGCAGCAGGAATGAAATGAAGAGAAAAGGATTAGGGATTTGGAGAGCAGATTGAGAAGGCTATAGACATCCCTATTTAGAGTTACTGTGTTAGTCTGGGTAGACTAGAAAAACAAATCCAGACACACTCATATGTGTATAAGAGCTTTATATAAAAAGTAAGTGTGCATTAAGAAAACATCCCAGCCCAGCCCAGATCAAGTCCATAAGTCCAATGTTAGCCCATATATCAAATACCAGTCTATAAATTCCTCTTCAGTGTCATGCAAAACATGCAATGTCTCTAAATGCATGAAGATCACAGGCCAGAGGGTGGAAAGTCTTGTGGGTCCAATGGCAGTAGAAGCATCTCAGCACTGGCAGGGGTCTCCACATGGCTCTTCTTGCTCCAGGGCTCTGGCTCTATCAGTGCGTCCCCATGTGGCTTGTTAAAAGGAATGTCTCACAGGGAGACAAGCAGGGAGTCTCTGTGTGTCTTGCCTCCAGCAAAGAATACAGGAATTCCCAGAATCCTCAGGAGAAGGCCATGCACACACAGAGGCCTCATGGGCTATGGCCTGATTGACAGGCTAGACTCCACCTCTTTGCAAGTTGACAGGAGATTATGTAACTGCCACAGCTAGCAAAGAAAGAAATAAAGAAATAATGTGAAGCCACTATTCAATGGAATAATGTCTTTGAATTTTTCAGATTCCACGAAAGACATGTATTTTCAATTTAGGAAGCACAACTAATACCAAGACGATGAAACTGAAAAGAAATATGTACTTCCATGCATGGTAGTGAAATTTCAAAACACCAAGGATTAAATCTACATGAAAATTACACAAATATGGGTAACAGGTTATCAGCAATTTCTCAACAATATTGGAAACACCAGTAGAATAATAAACAATTCAGAAAAAATAATGGTTAACCTAGAGTTATATTTCTGTCTGAATTTTCATGTAAGATTGAAACAAATTTTTATACGAGCAAAGAGTCCCATGTTTTCCCTGGGGAGTGGCTAATGGGTTTGAATTGCCAACCCGTGATTATCAGCCCAGTGCTTAACCCAAAGTGCCACTAGGGCTTCTTAGGATAGGTAAAGATGAAAAGAGTCAAATAGCATATAGAGGAAGTATTTACCAATGATTACCTTGTCAGTAAGGAAGTTTTAAGAAAGAAGTATCTAAGGAAAAAAGAAACATCTCGAGTTTAATAGACCAGAAGGAAGAGTAAGCAAAGAAACTGGTAACTAGGTAGGAACCTACAAATGACCCATGCCTGCATATAAAACACTTACAGTCATGAAAACAAGACAGAACCAAAATATTGCATCGGCATGACATGTCAGAGAATGCTTGGTCAAGTAGAGGTGCCCCACCCGAGAGGAAGGCCCTGGACAAGAGGTCAGACTCGTGTGCGGCCATGGTCTCAGAACAATGGTGAGGGTGGTACACAACCGGGCAGTGGTTCGTTTCATTGTGGGTATGAGTCAGAACTGACTGGACAACACTTAGCAACAAAAATTAATAAACCATATTGTGACCCATTAAAGAATGCCTGTATAAATGAAAGCATTATTGATGAAATACTGAAATGCCACCACTCACATAAAATATCCTATAGATTCAAAGAACTTTTGATTGACCTGCTAAAGTGTTATTTCTCATAAGCTGACAAGTTGATTCTGAAATTTCTATGTGAATGAAAATCATGTTTAGAATAACCAAAATTCTACTAAAGAGAAAAAATTATGGAGGCGTGGCGCAGTACCAGTTGCAGCGTGCTGCCTCGCTGTTGGGCACCTGTGGGCAGCGGCGAGGGTCAGGATGCTGGAGCAGCGAATGGGTTGGAGCACTGGAGTCCATCTACCCTGATTCGGTCACAGTATTATCTGAAAGTTCACCCAGTGTCCCATTACAGTGCCATCTGAGGCTGGGGGAAATAACAAAACTGTTCAGACTATGCTCACATTGACATACAGAGAAAATACCCTATATGTTTCTCCTTTATGCTCCCAGGAAAATCTAGCAGATAATAATGTTTCAGACATTTAAAAATTATTAGCATTACAGGCAGAAGAAAACCTGGGTGTGGTGCTGAGTTTTACTCTAATATCAGCTGGGCAAGAAAAATTAAATGAAATAGTAGATCAAAGTAAAAGTAGAAGAAGAAAAGAAACGGGGAGAAAACGAAGAAGCTGAAAAGCAACTATGTCCGGGCACTCCTGTTCCAATTGAGCATTTCTTAATTGGGAAGGCCAGATGTGACGCAGAACTCTGGGAAATGAAGAAGAAACAAATGAAAGAGGAGGAGCCAAGAGGAAAAAATAAACTAAGTGGGGAACAACTATTTGAAACCGGTCATAAGGTAGACACATGTGATATCCAGTTCTTGAGGATGCTAGAAATAATGTGGAAGACGATGACTGGAGGACGAAGAATCCTGCTGACCCAGAGAGTGGCTCAATCGATTAAAAGAGCGGCCCATCTGCACTGAAGTGTGACTGCACCAGCATCTCGGTCTACGCTGAGACGGCTTTGATGTTCCTTTCCTTTTCTTTCTAAGGGGAAAAAATTATTTTCAGGAGAATCTTCTTCTGATAGGTTTCATTGTTGAATTTAATAAACTATATATTTTCAATATGGATGATGAAATTAGGGGGAGGGTTTTGCAATAAGGCCTGTTCTAACACTATGGTATTAACTTTGAATCATATGAAACATTTTATCGGTATAAAACTAATATTGACAAATTCTTATGTGCCAGGCTAGTAATTAAAAGAGAGTAGTAATGACATAAGAAAATGTAAATAAAAAAGAAAATATTGAATAGAGAGCATCAAGACAAACCATTGTCTTGATGGAAAGTTTTCATATGTTATTATCAGTGGAAGGAAAAAATTTCAATGCAGGTACTGAGATAATTAATAATCCAAAAGGAAAATACAGTCAAGCTAGGCTTATAATCTTTTGCCATATATTAGACTAGTTCCAAGTGTATAAAACATGTATTTATGAAAGAAACACACACACACAGCCATCTAGTTGGTTCCAACTCGTAGCAACTCTATATAAAGTTTCCCAGACTACAAATATTTACTGGAGTAGACAGCCTCATTGTTCTCCTAAGGAGTGGCTGACATAGTACCTAGTCACAGGACTCATTATAGTCATGAGAAGCAATTATTAAAACTGCTAGACAGATGGACATTGGACCTGCACTCAATACAAGAATACTTTGTTCTATTAAACTGGCATTCTATGATACTTACCTTTCCAACAATGATCACTGAAGATAAAGCGGGTGCATAAGCAAATGTGGTGAAGAAAGCTGACGGTGCCCAGCTCTCAAAAAATATAGCATCTGGGGTCTTAAAGGCTTGAAGGTAAACAAGCAGCCATTTAGCTTAGAAGCAACAAAGCCCACATGGAAGAAGCACACCAGCCTGTGGGATCATGAGGTCTTGAAGGGATCAGGTATCAGGCATCAAAGAACAAAAAATCAAATCATTGTGAATGAGGGGAGCGTGGAGTGAGGACTCAAAGCCCATCTGTAGGCAACTGGACATCCCCTTACACAAGGGTCGCAGGGAGGAGACAAGCCAGTCGGGGTGCAGTATAGCAACAATGAAAATACAACTTTCCTGTAGTTCCTAAATGCTTCCTCCCCTCTGCCACTATCGTCATCCCAATTCTACCTTACAAAACTGGCTAGACCTGAAGATGTATACTGGCCCAGATAGGAACTAGAAACACAGGGAATCCAGGACAGAGGATCCCTTCAGGACCAGTGGTGAGAGTGGCAATACCGGGAGGGCTGAGGGAGGTGGGGGTGGAAAGGGGGAACCAATTACAAAGACCTATATATATAACCTCCTCCCTGGGGGATGGACAACAGAAAAGTGGGTGAAGGGAGACATCAGACAGTGTAAGACCTGACAAAATAATAATAATTTATTAATTATCAAGGGTTCATGAGGAAGGGGGAGCAGGGAGGGAGGGGAAAAATGAGGAGCTGATACCAAGGGCTCAAGCAGAAAGCAAATGTTTTGAGAATGATGATGGCAACAAATGTACTTGACACAATAGATGTGTGTATGGATTGTGATAAGAGTTTACGAGCCCCCACTAAAATGATTTTTTTTTTACAACTGCTAGAAGGAAATACAGGAGAATATCTTTACAAACATCTGTTTTCTTTCTTTGGTATTAATAGAATTTACTGATAGATACAGGACTATATGTCAAAGCTTTTTCAATTCTGATGATCATGTTGTATATTTCTGGTTAATAAGTTATAACTGGAAGCATATAAATTAGTTTCAAAGTAACTCCTTAAATGGTCCTTATAAACACACATGTTGCTCTTTTTTCCCCCTTTTGTCTCTTCTCATACTTTTTACCAGAGATCTTGATAAATAAGGTGATCAC